CGACGTCCTGGATCTCGCCATCCGGCAGCGGAGACACATCGCCACCTTCCCATATAAAATATTCACTGCACTAAAGGGTCCAATGAGCGGCGCAGTTGACGTTCCTGGATATACGAAACAATCAATCTATTGTTCTCATATTTCTATGCCAGTTATGGGACCTCAAGATGATAATGATACTGTAGTGCAGAAGTTTTTTATCAGAGGTATATAAAGTTTATTTATTAAGCAGTAACATTTATTAATTTTCCTTTTTCCTTAAACAACATCCAAATAATTCTTCCGACTTCCTTCTTTATTGAAAACAAGTTACGAGAAATGTGAAGTATTCCACTGAGCAAATTTATTTCACTGAATTTCCCTGGCTGTTCTGTGTTGATATTCCACATTTATGCCAGTATATGACTTCATTTTCTGTCCCCATGTTATTGACACAATTTTTTAAAGATCCTAATAGTTTTAACACTATCTAATAAAATTTCAACTACGCAAACACTTTTATTTTTACATTTTGGCTCTTCCAAGTTTGTATCCGAGTTTGGCTCTTCCAAGTTTGTATACTTAAAAATGATTCAGATTTCATGTTTCTTTCTTGTAACTGTTTGAAAAGTTATCATTAATTTCCTGTTAATCTGCATGTTTCTAAAAAAATGTAATATTTTTCTAGAATTAAAAAAATGTAATAATTTGCATAAATGGCAAGTGTTTGAAAACGTACAGGAGCTTATTAAGATGTTATTATTGACATTTACAACTTCGTTTTAAAATGTAGTAAAACCATATAGGTATTGTCTCATTTATACTATGTGCAGATTCTGTAAATAAAATTGAAGTGCTCATGGTTTAAAAGGGCATCTTTATTGAATATTGTCTGTTCTAGTTGGAACAGGTTCTTGGAACGGGTAAATGGATTTTGATGGAATTTTTATTGCAGAGAAGAGTTTTTTGACGGTCATATTTTAATTTTTTTCAGATCATTTATTTTTTTTACAAAGAAAGATGTTTTTGTTAAAATATAGTGTATCCCAGACTTATTAAAATTTTATACTCGTGGCCATCAACATAATATAAAAGTTACAACCGATATAAGACCTACTCTATCCCTTTCCTAGCAGTTAAAGACGTATTTAAATGTTTCCCTTTAGTTTGTTTTACTTATGTTTCATTCAATCAAACCAAAAAAGTCAATCTTAGAAACTGAACGTGAGAGTTGTCGTTATGTAGGCTAAGAATGCTATTTTGGATGAGTGAGAACAATTTCACTAATTAAGTGAATAGTCGCAAGATATTGATGTATTTTACAATTTGCAAACTTGGCTTGTTGCGCTTCTTTGTGCTTGCTATCAAATATGCTCGCAATCGCATTGGCACCAGAGCAAAGTCTCCTGCATTTTTTTGCAAGACTAAAGACGAAATTGACCGGCGTCTGATCATTGGCCTATTTCATAAATCAAAGACGTTATCTTCTAACAAAGCACATCGTAAGTCGAAAGCTGGTTTAAACTGCAGAAGCTTGTTTGGCTTGCAGTAGCGCCCCAATCCATGTTATACTTTCAGTATTGTGCTAAAGCCACTTTTAACGAATTGAACCGTTTTCTTTCACAGAGCGATGTTCAGATGTTTCTCCGTTCACTGGTCAGTCCCAAACTGAAAAGATCACATAAGTTAAATTTGTTTCCTTCTAAACAGAAATGTTTTAGCATTAATGTCTTCTACCTTTTGGATTACCTTCCTACTCGGAAATGTTTGTATATCCTGATTTAGTGTAGGAAGCAATTCAAGACGTGAGCAGTGGAGTTTTCCTTGGTTTTTGCCTTGAAGTATTTTTTTCCGAGATAATTGTATCCTAGTAGCGAAATGGTACATAACTTCAAATTTTTCTCTTACTCCAGTCGGGAAGAGTATTGTCACAGGCTTGTCGAAACTCGACGTCTTCCTTTCGTATTTTCCCAAGAACCAACTTCATCTTAACATTATCACGCCTACCATTTTCCACTTGGTGCGGGCCTTCGTTAGATCACTTCACCGTATTGAATCGGCACTGGCACTAGTAGCGATGAGTGAGTCCAACAATTTTCGTTGCGTAGAGTTGTCCTAAGCCTTTACTTACTAACCACACATTTACTTTACACTCACTGATCATGGTGGTATCCTCCACAGCCAACCCCTCCTTGCACGTTGAGGGGTGGGGGTGGGAGGTTGAGGGTTCTAATGCTTTCCTGTGGCAGGTTCAAGACGAGCAACGGCATCATCCGCCAAGAGAACGCCATCTTGAAGAACGCGGGCACGGAGGACGAGGAGCTGGAGGTGCGGGGCACCATCACCTGGATCGGCGCGGACGGCAGGGAGAACAGCATCGTCTTCGTGGCCAACAAGGACGGCTACCAGCCGCAGGTGTCGCCGCAGTAGC